ATTTAAAATAAATGAATAATGATATAAAAAATTATATGACTACAAAGGAATCCTATAAACGGTGAGTGTGTGCGCTGTAATGAAAACAATACTCAACTAGCGTGGTGTTTAGCATGTGATCCCGACATCACAGCACAAGGATGGACAAGTAGAAACAAAGATATTGATGACTGTATTAGAGAATTTCAACTTAGAACCACGAAATATGAGTATGAAATTGAATGGATTCCATTTGATAGATTAACAGATATTAAAGAAATTGGTAAAGGAGGATTTAGCTCGGTATATTCTGCAACTTGGTTGGATGGCATACGAAAAATTGATGGTAATAAAAATAATTATGTAAGAGTACGCGAACAAACCAGCATCGTTGCACTCAAGACTTTGTCCAATACAAAGGAAAATAATTTTGATTTTTTAAAAGAAGTAAGTTAATTTGTTACTTGTATGCATACATAATTAATAAAGTTTTATAGAACTAATTCATTTTAAATTTACAAAGTTTAAAGATCATATAATATGTAAAATAAATTCTAGTAAGCTTGCAATATATGGAATAACTAGAAATACAAAAACTAGTGATTACTTGATGGTGTTTCAGTATGCTGATAATGGAAATCTTTATAAATATTTAAGAAAAAATTTTAGAGAACTTACTTGGCAAGATAAATTACAAATACTTAAAGATATTTCAGATGAATTGGATAATATTCACAATTTTGCAGGATACATTCATGCAGACTTTCACAGTGGTAATATTTTGCAAGACCGAAGCAATAACGAAAATGTGCAATCTTATATCGCAGATCTAGGATTGTCTAAAAAGAATGATGAAAATATTTCAAAAGACAATATTTATGGTGTCATGCCATATGTTGCTCCGGAAGTTCTATTAGGCAACGGATTTACACAAGCGGCTGACATTTATGGCTTTGGCATTATTATGGCTGAAATGTCAACCGGACAAAGACCTTTTGATGGGAGTGAATTTGATACTAAACTTGCGGTAAGAATTTGTAAAGGAGAACGACCAGAATTTGCTCTCGGAACTCCTGATTGCTATGTTGAATTGGCTAAGCAATGCATGCATTCCGATCCACAAAAACGACCTGGTGCTTATAATTATAATGATAAAGTTAATAGTGTTTATCATATAATTGAAGGTTGGCTTAAAAAAATAGCAAGTTCAGATGAAGAAAGCGAAATTAAAAAGCAATTCTTAAATGCTGATAAAGTCATTAAAACATTGCCAATAAAGTCACCAAGCCATCCGGATCACATGTACACCAGCAAAATTATTTGCACAAAATTAATTTCAAATGCGATTAAAGAAGGTAATTTATTTTTAATTTATATATTAAATTACATAATGTATAAGAATAACGAAATCTTTTTTATTTTTTAGATTTGTCTCAAGTCGATTAAATTTTGATATTTCTAATAATGAATGATTTCGTAAATAATTATTATCGTTATGAATATATATAATAATTCTAGAAAGTTCTGAAGTAAAACACAAAGGAGAATAAACATTTATTTGGAAATGGTATTTAAAATATAGTAATATAAAGATTTATTAGCCCGACATTACTTTATTAGACTGGAAAGACGTCTCTGTAAATTTTATTCATAATTAAGTAACAAAGGAATATTTATTTTCGGAGAAATAAGGTAGATGCGATATGTTTTGAATATGTTAACTTTTAGATAATTTTATGGAAGAAACGTAATGATCATGCAAGGGGCATTCCTTTTCATAGTTTGTTTTTAATCTTTATTTTATATTATTTGTTGTACCCATTTATTGGTAGCGTTTCTAGTGTGATTAGGGTTGTTATTTTTTATTAATATGCATTTAATTACTGAATAAAATTCCTTAAATATTTATTAACTTTGTCAATCAAGCGGCTTAATCAATGGATTAAAAAGTGTTTATTTGGCGGAAAATATTTTCGCAGGTCAATAGTGTTTATTATTATAATGAATATATCATATGAAATATGCTTAAAGTTTACTTTGTGTAATTAAAATATTTTTAATAGTAAAAAATATAATCAAATTTACAACAAACCATTTTTTTTATACCTGACTTTGAAAAAATTTACCATTAATAAAGTATTCATTGATCGCTCAAGTTAACTTTACCATGGATATTCATTATTGTATTACTTATATTATTAATTAAAAGTTCAAAAAACAATTGCAGATATTTAGTAAATTCAACTATTCCGTCAATAATTTCTTCTTGGATTCAAAAACCCAACATAAACGAAGACCTAAACCCGGTGGATTCTGGGTTGACGGTTTTCTATATTTAACTAATGACTAGAGTAATATGAGCAGCTGAAGTTGATGCTTCACTATAGCATCTGTTTTTTCGTGTTGGACTGCTTTTTGTTTTTTATTTTTCGTTTGACAATAAAGAACTACTCAAGTATCGATTACAATTTTAATTGAATGAGCAACGATCACTAACAAAATAACATACTTCAATTACATCATAAGGCCGTTCTTAGTTGATTATTAGGTTAACGTCAATATTTGGGCTCAGGTATGAGGGGGGAGGGGGAAAATTTAAACAATCTCATTGGTCAACATTAATCACATATTAATGAAGTTTATGATTGGCTTGTTTAATTTTTGGGGGGAGGGCAGTTAAGCGAGGGGGGGATGACGTTAACCTAATAATCAGCCTAATATCATAATTTGCATATTCGAATTTTTAGCTAAAATTTTATGTACCGGTAAATCTAAAAATGGTTGTGCACTACCGCTACTATAATCACTAGCTAATCACACCATGATTGAAAACGCCCAAAGTCATTGACTTGAATCGGGTCATTTAGCACTATTCCATCCCTTACTTTTGGCGAACCTAATTTATAGGATAGTAAAGTATTTATTTTTCCTCATTCATTGGGCAACTATTTGGTTTATATAATAGGCTAACGAATACTCTTTACAGTATATACATGTTAATTTTATTAATGCTTGGATTTATGATCACTTTTTCTTAGCGTTAGTTTCAATCGATGTAATTTTTCTGATATTAAATTATATATTTACAATAAACATATAAAATTATCATTATTAATAATAAAAAGCCTTTTATACCTGTAATATTTTGTATATGGTTTTAAATATATATGTCGAAACAAACTTTGCTCCGGACTTTTAGTTCAATTACGAAAGATAACATTTAAGTTGATTGAAGCTGTAGAAAAAATAACATGATATATTATATGGTGGATTTACTTAATAATATAAGTAAAATATGTGGTTTGACTAAACATTTTAATGCCTCTAAACTAAACGTGACATATTAAAATGAAATCTTCATTAATTTGAAAATTACGTGCTGTGGTAAAATTTTTTGGGCAGTTTTAAAGTTAGGATTTAGGGATAATACAAGAGTATAACGATAAGCGGATTTCAGAGCTTAAAGGAGGTTCTCAAATTTCATTTGAATTCAATTTCTGCGACATTCATCTTCAGAAATATCTTGATCAGATTAACTTTTTTTTTAAAAGAAATAATACCCTAAATTTTATAGCTTATATTTCGATGAAATTTTAAACTATTTTAATGATTTAAAAGTGAAAATAAAAACTTATATCTTAAGCTTCATTTTCATTTTTTAAATAATTAAAATAGCTTCAAAATTCAATGAAATATAAGCTATGAAATTTAGGGTATTATTTCTTTATTTAAAATAAAAAGTTAATCTGCCTGTTTTCTATTGACGGCAACCATGTGTATAAAGCTGGGTATCTGTAGTTCACTCTATATTGAATATCGCCAAGGTAGTTTATGTCATAATTAAAACTCAGAATAAAATGATAACCTTAAATAAATCCACTATAATATACTAGGATAATTAATCAAAACTATGTACAGTAAGGTCAATCAATAAATATATAAGAATAAATTTTCTAAAAGTTATAGATCAGTCGGAGTATCAATTCATAGTAAAGAACAAAGTTACATAACTTATGAATTAAAAATAAATTTCACGTAAAATTATTTAAGGGGTAGTCCGCAGACAAAGGGTACAAATTTCATAGTAAAAATCGGCAGGCATTTACTAGTTGCCTTTTTTTGCGGTTTGAATCTTATATAGCTGAAGCTCAACAATTTAGCCAAATTAGCCAATGTGAATTTCCTATAATTTAAGCCTCTACACCCGCAATAACATATGGGCGAAAATTTTTGATGGGAATGTTGTGATTATTGATATGATAGAATCGATAATTGAAATCGTTAAAAAAAAGTACGTACGTATACGTATTCTACATGTGTAATTTGTACTGTACATACTCGAAACTGGTGTTTCTTGTTTAACTACAGCAACTATACTCTTGCAGCAAGAAAAGAACTTTAAAGTTATAATAATCGCAAAACATTCTTCAGGGGACTTAATACGAGTCCTTATTATATAAATGTTTTAATAATTGACCCTATATGAAAGTTTGTTGTGTTTGTTGGTAAGAATAGAGTCTTTGCAGATTGCAGACATAGTATAGCCTTAGTGAGAAGTAGAGATCTTGTTTATAAGAGGGTTATAGTAGATACGCTATTGTAAAGGAGTAATTGTTTCTATGAAGCTTCTTAAAGTTTATTATTATCCAAATAATAGGGTCGGATTTATTGCCCAAAGACCAAACAAAATTAACTATCAAGAGAAGTGTAATCGGTTTTAGACTTTGTTGCGAATTAACTCGCGTCTTTAGCTAACAAAGACTTGCCTACAAAGTTATCATATCACTTTATTTAATGTCATTTTATACGTGTTAATGATTTTTTATTTAATCGGTGAATTTAAATAAACTATTTAAATGAATTAATGTGAATAATAAAAGAATATAATATTTATATAATAACAAAAAACTATAACCAGATAATATAAAAACTGATTAATTGGCTCATCACTACGTAACTGTATATTTTGTGGTATATGTCAATTAATAATCGACGAAATGAGAAATAACGCGAAACATAAATCATTTAGTATCAAATTTAAATAAATTCCAATCTATACTGCTTGATAAAATGTTTTTCCTGAGATTCAAATCCTCTTCATGTGTTTTATTTAATGTCATAAACAAAGTCTTTTTCAAATTCGAGAAGTCTTGTGGCGATTTACACGTAATACCATCAGTATTTTCAGCGTAATTGAAAATATCCTTGTAATTTTTATAGTACTTAATAATTGTCTTATAAAGATATAAAAGGGAACAAAAAGACACATTTATATCTGATTCAGCTTCATTAAGTATAATATAATTTACGAGGTTAACAGTGGCTGAATTGATTTTACCGAACTGAAAGGTAAATTTATCGTCATCATGTCTTACTATATTCGGCAACCGATTAAATTTGCTGTCCAGTCTTATGTTGAGCTGAGAAGGATCCATTTTATTAACATAATCCGGAATTGGTTTTGGATGTGAAACATTTTCAAAAAACGAGCGATGTTTAAACCCAAATAAATTATCTAAATATTCAAATCCAATACCATCTCGAAAACCCCAATCACAAAGAACTAATACTAGCTTTGGAGAGATAACATAAAAATAATGAAATGCTTTTGAAACTTTTTGAAATCGACCATCTAAAAAAATTTTATCTACAATCACACCTTCAAAGAGTCCAAAAGTGTTGCTGGTTATAATAAATTCATCATTTTCACCAGCTTGCCAAATTGCGAGAAAATAATCGTTCGCATAACGCTTGTAATCCATCCTATCTGCAGAAAATATTTGCTCATTATTCTTGACATCTTGATGTGGGGTATCTAATATTTCATCAATGTTCTGTAACCATACTTCTTGCGAATTTTGTATATTATTCTGCTTCATAAAATTTTTTAATTCTAACAAGGTAGGGATATCGAATTCCTCCTTTAAAAACTGGTCTTTTCTAGAAGTTTTTCTGTAATTCATGATGAATAGAAACTTGCGTAAATTAGCAAGATTTTTCCTAAGCAAAACAATGTGGCTCTTATCTTGTTGAGATGCGGTAATAATGTCTCTGACCACATTTGATGCTTCATTTTCAAGTTTTGAAAGTTTATTTTCTACACGCATTGTATCATCATGATTGAGATCTTTGTATAGGTTTTTGAATCCGTAGGTTTTCGCAATTAAAGAAATACCCAGTTGATCATTACTTCTATCATAAGTTTGAAGACGTTCACTCTTCTTTTTGCTCAGCAAGATTTTTTTTCGTTTCTTATTAAATAGCTTTTTATCACTCACAAATATTCTCTCATATTTGTCATTAGCAAAATTACGTAGAATGAATCTTGGAATATAATGATGGTATTGGTCTTGCGACATTGGTTAAAGAGAATATTTCACAGCGCAAAGAATAAAGTTTTGTTATTTAATTTTCCTATTATATTACTTATCGTTATGTCAATTTTGTAAATGAACGATCTCCAAAACAATTTCCTTGCAAAATAATTAGGAATGGAAAATTTACATTTGTATTTTTCTTTCTTATGTTACCAATTAATACAATATGTAACGTTCGTGTAATATATTTATGCACATTTCCTAATTTCTCCCAAGTTTCTGAACGCATTCTTTTAAATATGGTAGCTGCGCAGCTAAAAACCGGAAACGGATGACACTTGTAAGGCCAGACCAATTTAATTCTTCGTTTAACATAACCATCACCCTCACCCTCACCCCCTTCTTTTTAAAATATCTACTGTAAATAGTACTATATGAATAATAAATATAAGGGGAATTTACAAATAAGGGCCTAAAAATGTAAAATAATTACCTATAGAGGCCCTATTTCAATAAAATTTAACAGTTTTTACTAATATCTCATAATACCGTAAACGAAATTTAACGATTTTGATACCATTCGAATCGTCTCATTGAGACGCATTGAATGGTACCAAAATTGCCAAATTTTAATTACTGGATTACGAGTTATTTAATATTTTCTAAAGTCTGTTTAAGTCGTAATATCTTGTTATTCCGTCATTAAAATTTAGCGATTTTAGTACCATTCGATCCGTCTCGACGAGACGATTCGAATGGTATCAAAATCGCTAAATTTCGTTTACTGTATCGTGAGATATAGTAAAAGTTTCTAAAATGGGGCCCCTATATGTAATTATTTTACATTTTTGGGCCCTTATTTGTAAATTCCCCTAAATATAATATACCCAATAGTAATAGGTAAGGTTGTTAATGGAGTAGCATACTCCAGAGTGAACCTAACCCAAGTTGGAGTGGGTTGAGAACTAGTTCAACCCAAACCAACCCATTAACAACCCTAGTAATAGAAAGCTTGTGATTATGTGATATACTGGTACTAATGGATTTTCTCAGGTGCGCTAAAAAATTTTTTCTGATCGGAAAAAGTTTTAAGTTCATTTACTTAAGGTTAGGGTTTTTATATTAGGGTTAGGGTTTAGCAGTATATGTAGTAAAATTGCTCAACGAAATTTTTTTGTTGGAGCACAAATAGTGGCTTCCTATGCAAATTTTCGAGAAATAAGTGATTTTTCAAGGGGGCTATTTTTTATATCCTCAAATTTATTCATACCTCCTTGTGAAATTGCAATTTTTTGCAACTTTGAATGAAGATATCTTAGCACTTACCTAATCATATTTGATTTTATTTTAATTTTACAAATCTGTAGAATTTAAACAAAAAAAAATTTATCAAATTTGTTCAGTAGTTGTCAAGATATATTGATATATTTAATCAAATTCAGTAAACAGTTTAAAATACTGTATCTATCAAAATTGAAGTAATCTAAAGTTTTAAAACTTTGAACAAATATATCTTAATTTCTACTTGATAAATTTTATTTTATTTTAATTCTATATTTCTGTAGAATTCAAACAAAAAAAAATTTATCAAAATTTATCAAAAATATCTTTGCTTAAAGTTAGTAAACAATTTAAAACATCTGGAGTCTGTGCCTTAAAAATCAAGTTTGGATCATATAATTTACTATGTTCTGTAAGGTTATTTTCAAGGCACAGACCCCATCTATTAAAATTGATACTGTATTAAAATTTTTTTAAAAACTTTGAATAAAGATATTTCAGTATCTATCTAATTTTTTTTATTTTAATTTTACAATTCTGTAGAATTCAATTTATTGAATTTAGTCAGGTAGATACTAAAATATCTTTATTCAAAATTTTAAAAAAATTTTAGTATAGTATTAATTTTAATAGATATTTTGAATTGTTTACTAATTTTAAGCAAAAATATCTCAATATTTATCTGATTAATTTTAATAAAAATTTTTTTGTTTGAATTCTACAGAATTATAGAATTAAAATAAAAAAATTTATTGAATTTGACTAGATAGATGCTGAGATAATATTTAGCAAAGTCAAACTAAAAGTTTGATACTCAAATCTTATATTAAATATTTTAAATCTAATTTTTAAATTAGTTAAATTAGTAATATATATTTTATTTTTTTTAAACTTAGATAATCTTATTTGTTATTTTATTAAAAAAAAGTTTAAATAAGCTACAAAATAAATTACTATATAATCTTTACTAAATTACTTTTTTTTATATTATTCTGAACTTATTTAGCTATTTTAAGATATCTAGATATAATTTACTATAGTAGCTATTTTTCTTAAAAACTATTAGACTATATTCATAGTTTACTTATTCTTAATTTCAAAAAGGCTACTACTAGCCTATATCAAAATTATTTAGTCTTTTTTTAAAAACTTTTTCTACTTATATCCTAGAAAATACAGAAAAAAAATAGTTTTATAAAAAAAACAATATAGAGAACAAAATAAAAGAAAAAAGCAAAAAAAAGTACTACTAAATCTAAGTGAGAAACAAAAGTAAATTAACAGAAAAAGATAAAAAAGTAAAGAAAAAAATTATTATAGTCTTAATATATATAAATAAAAAAAAGAAAAATAAAATAAAATATAGAATTGATAAAAAATTATATATTTCTCTAAATAGAAAAAGCCTTTATTCTAAATTTATTATATATTATCTCTTAATCTGTAGATATAATGTATTCTGAGAGGATCTAAGCTATTCTGAATAAATAGATCTGTAATAAGCTAGCTAGCTTAAGCAGTTAGATATTGTAATGACATTAGGTTGAATCTGTATAGATTAATAAACAGAGTGTTTAAATAGATAACTCACAGACAGGTTACAGGTATAACAACATAGCATAAAACCAATCAGATGACCTAACATCTGAACAGTGAACTACTTAAAATAGACAATAACTAAAATTGTACATATGGCTTGTTGTATACTTTTCATGTAATTACAAACAGTAGAAATTATCAATATATGTATAATCCTATTTGCAACTCTAATATGTAAAATTCTTTTAACAATGTAAGCTACCTTTACCGACTATAAAAAAAAAATAATTATACTTTTAGAAATATAAAACTGTTGCTTTTCCTTGCTTATAAAAACTATTTTGAAATAAAAACATCTTTCTTGAATATAATACAGCCTTGCTACAATTAAATCATCACTGATTTTTGTGTATATAGCAGCAACTATATCATTCAGAGAGATATTTTCCAAGTTTTGAATATTGAAGACTAATGCATTCTTATTCTTAGTATGAATTCTAGTTCTTGGAGCAAAATTAGAGAAACTTGCTTTACTATTTTTCAGCTTGGTAAATAAGCTGGACCACTTTCATGGCTCTTGTTGTCTATGTTTTTCCTCAAGTTGTGCTAAGCCTTCATTATTTGAATTCTTCTTGTGTTCCGAATTATGTCGCTCACATGATTTGTCCATAGGTTTTCCAGAAGGTTCCAACTCTTGTTCCAGCGAATTTCCGTTTCATCCAAAGAACTTGATGCCATGTCTGTTAGGTCCTCTCCAGCTGAAAACTCCATTTCTATATCGTCTGATCAGTCTGTAGATAAATTGTTACGTGTGTCTGAATTTAGTTTGTGTTCTAAGTTTGTCCTTGTTGGCATATTTGGAGTTATTTCCTCATCAGGTATTGCGTTCTTCATTTCACTATTTTCAACTCTGGTGTCATATATTTTAACTCGTTTCTCTTGATACTTGCTCATTATCGACTCTATGTCTTTTCTTTTTTTTGTTATTAAGGTTTCCGCCCTTTTTGGAGGGGTTTGTTTGCTGTTAATCTTGGCTTCGTTTGATATTCGTTTCTTTATCTGCTACCCGGCATCGGATAGCAGTGAGAGATCGATCAATAATTCTATAACGTGTTATTCAATTTCATGTGACGACCAATCACGAGAAAGTTATCCTATATTATTCGCAAGGCATATTTTATACGAAACTAATTACCGTAACGACTAAATATTCAATACTGTATAAGTTAAATTGTATTAATAAATACATTACTACGAAATTTAACAACTTAGAGTCTAAGATCATCATCCCGATACAAAAGAATCATATAATCCAAGATCTTATTTTAAAAAAAAATACTATTACACAGATTAAAATAAAAATAATAATAAAACGCACGAAAAAAAAAATGAAACATTCATTATAAGAGACAATAAAAAAACTATATAAACAAATTTAACTGTATATAATAATAGTTAACTAATGCCGAACGAATTTAACCTTAATCCTAAATTAATAATCAATCTTAGACGTAACACTATGCTTTAATAATAGACATAATACTATGTTTTAATCTCTCATAAAGTTCGCAAGCTTATATTTTCATTGTTTCATGTCACTAAGCTATTTTCCTGGCAGTACGTGTCTGTCTTTAGGATAATAACTAAGTTATAAATAAAATAGATTAGCGATATAAACTTTTTGCAATAACTGTCATTTTACCAGGTTTAATATACTGTAAGTTATATTGGTTAAATTGAAACATCTAGACATACCTCTTCCGAATTACCTCGTGGCTTACTGAATTATTTGACAGTATATAAAGTAAAGCCTGAACTTTCGAATTCTTTTTGTCTTACCTTCTTGTGACAACAAATCGCTACTTTAATAAGACTTTAATATGATGAGATGGCCCGCTATGCTACATTATTGGTATTCTGATACTTTATTAAAGACCCGGCCAATGCATCAAGCCCCAAATTCATTTTTCTAATAAATTCTTCATTTTCATTTATAGTCGGATGATCTAATTGTTATTGCGCTTTTGTGAGATAATCGTCACAGTTTAACTAATTAAAATCGATTGGTCAATATAATCACAAGAAATCAAATATGATTCTGCAAAAAATCCTTCCTGTTTATTGCTTGCGCTTTTCCTTGTGCCTTTAATATTTTCATATCTTGTGGTGTACTTGCACCTCTTTGGCTGTGGTACCAAGTATTTTTGCTTCTAACTTTCGAGTACAAAAAAATCAACAAAAGGCAATTAGCATCGGTATGTTTATTTAATCAATTACATCAAAGATATAAAGTAAAATTATGTGGTTCTTCCTATATCAAATTATTTTTATACCAAACCAAACTGTAATTAATGACTTCTATAAGGTGAAATCTGCGTAATGGTACTTACATATTATATTATTTTTAGGTGAAAGAATATACTATACAGTCTCATAATAAACTTGAAATTTCTCAAATGCCTTTTTATATCTCACAAATAATCATTCCAAATTGTGATTACAAACGCTTCGAAGAAATCGCATTAGCAAATTCTCACTGCCGAATGAATCTTATCCAAGGGACGCTTGAAATAATGCCCCCAGTTTCCAACGATACAGGTATGTAACTTGTTAAGTCACTATTTAACAGGTTTATCGAGTTGAAAGTTAAAATATAAATAAATAAAAAATATTGTTTAGATCAAAGAAAAGCAAATATTATCTGTGATGTTGTCATCTGGTGCCGTGCTAATGCCAATTTAGTTGGACACTTTGGTGCTTCTCGGGTAAGTTATGCAAGTGTTATCATGTTGACATTTTCTTTTTGTGTTCATCTCTTTAATTATTCTTTATTGATTGTAGGGATGCTATACATTGTCTAATACTGTTAATGATTCTAAACCTACTATTTTAGGTCCTGATGCTTCTATTGTACTTAGTACCAGGTTTGAGGTTTGAATGTTAATAAAAAGACAGCATATATGTTTTGCACCATTTTTTTAATTTCTATTTTATTGAAGATGGAATGCACTATCAGATGATAAACAAAAATCATATCCACCAGTTGTGCCAAACTTTGTCGTGGAATTACGCTCACAGAGTCAATCACCTCAGGATTTCCATAAAAAAATGTTACTATGGATGAATGGTGGAGTTGAAGTAAGTGGACAAATGATGATGGCTACTTGTTTATTGATCTTTCTGTTATTGATCATTAATTTTTATTTAGGAAGGAATTGCAATTGATCGATATGCAAATCCACGTGAAGTGAGAATCTATACATTTAATCCCAATACTAATAGTGTCGAATGGCAAACACTAACGAATCCCACTCACGTTGCATCACAAGTTCTTACTGGTTTCGTACTGAATATGCAAAATATCTTTTGATGAAAAATGCTTCCTCACGCAAAATCAAATTAGAAAAAATTTTCCGTATATCAAATGACAAAAAAAAAAAAAAAAAAGACAAATTCGATTCAAAAAAGATTGTATTAGGTTAAATAAAGCAAAATGTCGTCAAGTACTCTATTTGTAATTATTATCTTGCTTATTTTAATATATTAGTTTAAACGAAAACAGATATTACAATTCTAGTTAAGCAATTATTTATTCGCTGTAGTATAGCACTTCATCGAAAAAATAAAATAGTGATCAGATTTAACAATGCATATGCGTTACAAAAATATAATGCTCGAGAATTTTTATTGCTTAAACGAATATATAACACACATGTGACTGAATGTAATCCACTTGCAAACAGTCTGTTACGAAAAATACTGCAACAATTATAGAGCATTTAAATTTTAACTCTATTCAATTATCGAAGATGCTTTGGAATAATTACATATGGGTCTTCATAATACCGAACATATCTAAGGACAATCCCGTTAGGGTTCACGAAGTTCAATGTCACAGAACTTCTAATTGTGTATGAGCCTGACTGTAGCACCCCTGGTGTATTACTTTGAATTCTTTATACCATGTCTTCACGAAACTAACTTTCATTTGTTTAATTTATTTGTGAAACAATGGAACTTACTAACGTTAAACCAATTTAATGAACGAATCTTGTTAGGATATTTAGCGTCCGAAACGAAATGGGATCATCAAATATTCCTTTTGAATAATAATTTAAAGCGTCTATACTCAGGGCCAGATATTACACGTATTTTGTCATTTGTCACGAAATTTTAACATATTTTATTATAATTTTAGGGTCTTTTTTTAAGATTAGGGTTATTAATAAAAGAGCATATGTGAATTTTAGCAGTCTTATGGATTTAAATCGGGACCCCAAATTTCAGCATCAGCCGCGGCATAATATGTTAACGATGAATCGAAGAACTAATTATGCTTTGTCGCGAATACGATAGAAATTCTGGTATTATTACCTTTATTATTATTGATATGTAACTAATCTTTTTTTTTTTTTTTATGGTAAAAAGATTATAGATTTGAACATTACCAATTCATTAGGCTTTTTTAATATTGTTCATTAATATTCTGACTACAAGAAAAAAAAGTTATCAGTGAAAATCCTAGCTGTACTGTAATTAATCTTAAATTGACCAATTTTACTCGCCAATAATAATCTAAATTATGGATTTCTTAATTGTTTTCTAAACCATAGAACTAAAAGTAAAAAATATTAAATAAAATAGAAACCATTATATGATGAACTTTTAATCGAAATTCGAATTGATAATACAAAGATTTTATCGTTTGTGGTTTTGATGATGAGACCCAAACTATAGAAATTAACTTTAGGGTTAGGGTTAACAAGTATATAGGTAAAATTACCTTCCCGACATTTTTTATTAGTGTATCAAGACGTGTTTTTCATTTTTAGAGTTCTTAACATAGGTAAATTTCTCTCCTGACATTTTTTATTAATGCACCAAAGTGGGTTCCGACTGCCGTTTCTTGTATTTTTCGCGTTTTCTCTTTTTTCGCTTGTTTTTCTTCGTCGGGCTAATCAGGGTTTATCAAATTTTCGCGATTTTATTGGATTATCGCAAAATCTATCCGGACTGTATGTGATACCGTATAAGTAGATTCTCGTTTAACTCGCGTTGTGGAAGTATTAGACTATTTACTCAAGCTATAATAGCAACTTTATAATCGTCAGAGCTTTATTTGAAAGAGTTCCCTTAATATTCTGCGCAAGTAAAAAAAACCACACAATTATACAATATGTCAACTAACATGACACTCTATTACAGTATTAAACTATACCTCAAAATCAATAAAATATATATAATTATTCGGTATCCTACTATGATAGAGGGGCTTTCCAAATAACTAAAGTTATTTGGCAGTTGTTTTTAATATAAAAAATGAATAACTTGAGTTATTTGACAGTCTACGACTGCCAAATTATACAAAGTTATTTTTTATATTAGAAACAACTCAAGTTATTTGGCAAACCCAATCGTCGTAGGATACTAAATAATACCGTAAAGCGCCAATAACTTTCGTATCTGGCAGTGAAACTTAATATGTCAGCCTCTGGGCTCAGAGTAGGCATATTAAGTTAAACAGCCATATACTAATTATTTTTTCTGTATGATGATTAACACGTGATCCTTCGGATCACATGTTAATCATGATGAAAAAATAATTCTCGTTATTGATCCAATAACTCTATATTATTCACATTGTATTTTTTTAAATATTAATATATGTATCATATCGTACTTCATAAATTTTGAGTAGTGTAAAAAGTCACTAATGAACAAAGCTTTTTGATCAAAAATTGACTTCGAACTCAATTTTAATACGATTAAATAGTCACAATGAGTTTTAAATATCATAATTAAAATAATACAACTACAAACTCTAATTCGAGTTTCAAATAGAGATAAACTAGTTTGGCCAAGCAATATAACATCCCTAATTTGAATATACTCTTTCTATATAACTAGCCAATTAAATACAGTATAATAGTCTGTGCCCTCAACCCTAACTGTTTTAGAATAATCAAAACACAAATTATCAAATATTCGAGATGCGGTATAAACTGTTATGGCTTATACAGTACCATTTCCATTGCTTATTTGATTTATGAATATTTACGACCAAATTATTCAAAATTCACATCCAACGAAGCGAAATTTGCATATTTCTAACATAGGATTTTGAAGAAAATTTAGAAGGTATACTAGGGATTGGAACCGCCTAGAATCAGAAACATAGGTTTTCTTCAATTTTATGTTCCTTACGGATTTTCTTGTTAAGCGGGAAGAATTCAGGTCTGCGCTTAGAATTTCTTTAATCGTTTGACTGTTTAAACGTATTAACCGTTTAACTCAGCTGGCATTAAAACAACCTTGGTTCATGAACAACATAATTCGGCCCAAAATTATGGGAACAAAATTTTTATGTGTTCCCAATACTTATACACAATACGCAAAAAATTTTGATATCATATAAACAACACAAGTACAGCTCCTTTAGTTAGTCTAAAATGATAGGCATTAGTATGGGCATAGCATAATGTCAATGTGCCTGACACGGGCTTTACAGAAATTTGAAATTTTCTCATGTCTTTGACGATTAAAAATATAAAATAATTTATTAATTTTTATTTATTTAAGTTGAATATTCATACATATTCAATTGCAAATTTAATTGAAATTATAATAGAAAATGAATATAAAATATGTGAACACCTATTTCCACCATATGGCCGGAATTATGTTATATAATTAATCATGATGGAAATAGAAATTTCTATGGCGTTCCCTAAAATATTCCTTTTCCGGAATTAGGTAAGGATTCGTCAAATTTAATAAAATCTTTAAAAGGCCGACTAAAAAAAAGATCACTAGTATTTTTTTTTTCTTTTCGCACAAAAATTTGTTATATATGAAATTCAATCTTATAATTTAATGATCGTGCGCGTTTTTTTGATATTATTGGCGATACTGCCTACTGAGTGTGACACGTCAAATTTTACGTACAGTACATCGAGAGTGGTATAAAATCCAAAATACCCAATCAAATACCTCGTATACTAAATATTCTTTATATAATGACAGAACTGCTGTAGTTCAGATCATTCGTAGAAACACGACTCTTGGTCATGATATCTGCGTTGAGTCGTTATCATCATTACGTATTATTCATCTAAATGGAAGCACGACAGAAATCGACGTTGATTTAGGAATTCAATACCTAAATTATTGGGTTGACAATGTACTAGAAGTCCCTTTAAATTTTTATCCGCTGTATAACGAGCTCATTTTAGTCACATATATGAATGCTACAGATGTAACAAATTATTCGATATATCATATTACGAATGGGAATGACTATTAATTGGAAAGGAAATATTTTGAGGTTGGCTATTGTGTCTATATGATCAATTCGTAACTATTGTTGTAATTGTTAGTTTTTCGTTTTTAGTTCAATAGTTTTTAGCCAATAATATGTAAACCCAGTAACTAATGTTTGGAAACCGAGTAAAGATGTTATAAAAATAATATTGATCCCAAGAAACGGATTTTTCCGTCTTTCTTAAATAACTACTTGGATATTTTGTTATCATTCTTCTTTTTTTTTTTTTTTTTTTTATTATATGCAAGCCTGACGTTCTTTCTGTTTTCATTCACTTAATTTTTTTTCGATATTTATGGTCAAATATATAAATAGAATGGCTTAGAAATCACGAGATCGACACTTTCTGTGACATGACTTAGATTCGTATGGCACCGAAAGTTATAATTTGGATCGGTCTTTTAAAAGAATAATATAATACTAAAATCAGGTACAGTATAATATATATCAATATTATATAAACAGATAATGAGATATTTTGTCTATATCATATATATTTATCTATTTTTACTCAATAAAACTTAAGTTTTGTCTACATCACATATATTTATCTATTTTTACTCAATCAAACTTAAGTATATGTAATTCTAAAAGAGACCATTTGGGACCGAGCTGGGAACGTAATTTGAGGTACGGTCTCGTTAAGGACAAGAACATGCCAGACTAGACTGACGCATCTCTGCAATGCAGGTAACACTTTAATTAAATTGATTAATATGGATTGCATAAAAGTCATAATTGGGTCAAGGATATTTAATTTCTTTTGAATACAAAGCATTCATTTACTTATTAGAACAAAATTCAAATCAAGTTTGATTACTTAGGTTGAAGAGTAATTTAATTCATATATTATTCAGGTTGCAAGTCGAAGCTAATTTAAATTTCATCGGTTTAATTTAATTTTATTTATTAAACATATATTTATAATAATAATTATAATTTAATTTATCCAAAACTTTACAAATAATTAGGAATAGCATATCCAATTAGAGCAGAATTGACTTGAGACAAATCTAAATAAAAAAAAGGATTTTATTATTCTTAAACGTATATATTAAGTAATTTAATATTAAATTAAAGAATAAATTACCTTTTTTAATCACATTCAAAATTGTTTTAGTGTTAATATTTTTTCTAGTAAACATATCATCTGGATGGCTTGGTGAGATTATTTGCAATGTTTTAATGACTATATCAGCATCTAAGAATTGCCTTTTAATTTCATTTTCTTCATATGAACTTGCTATCTCTTTAAGCCAAACTTCAATTTCTTTTAAAATTTTATCGGCACTAGGCCGTTTTTGTGGATCCGAATTCATGCATTGCTTAGCCAATTTAACATAGCAATCAGGAGTTCCAGAAGCAAGCTCTGGGCGTTCTCCTTTGCAAATCTTTATAGCAAGTTCAGTATCAAATGTACATCCATCAAAAGGTCTTTGTCCGGTTGACATTTCAGCCATTATAACTCCGAAGCCATAAATGTCAGCTGCTTGTGTAAGTTTGTTGCTTAATAGAACTTCTGGCGCAACATAGGGCATGACACCATAAATATCGCCATTTGAAATACTTTCATTCTTTCTAGCCAATCCCAGATCGGCAATATATGATTGCACACTTTCCTTATTATATTGAACTTGCAAAATATTACCACTGTGAAAGTCAGCATGAATATACTTTGCATATGTGTGAATATTATTCAATTCATATGAAATATCTCTAAGTGATCGTAATTTAGCCTGCCAAGTAAGTTCTCTAAAATTTTTTAGTAAATATTTATGAAGACTTCCTTTATCAGCATACTGAAAAACCATCAAGTATTCATTCGTTTTTGTATTTATAGTTATTCCATATACTGCAAGTTTACCATAATTTAATTTAAATGTCATATGACTTTTAAACTTTGTAAATTTAAAATGAATTAGTTCTAACTGTTAGATACAGTAATTTATTAATATTTAAGCAACGAATTAACTTACTTCTTTCAAAAAATCAAAATTATTTTCTTTATTACTAGACAAAGTCTTGAGCGCAACGGTATTGGATATTTCACGTACTCTTTTATAATTATTTTCATTACCATCAATTTTTCGTATGCCATCCAACCAAGTTGCAGAATATATAGTGCCAAATCCTCCTTTGCCAATTTCTTTAACGTCAGATAATCTATCAAACGGAATCCATTCAATTGTCTTTTCATATCCCCAGGCTCTAAATTGAAATTCTCTAATATAATAATCAAGATATTTGTTTCCACTTGTCCATCCACGTGCTGTAATGTCAGGATCACACGCAATACACCACGCTGGTTGAGTATTATTTTCATTACAGTGTCTACATTTACCGTTTATAGAATCCCTATGTAATCATATAATTTTTTATATCATTATTTATTTTAAAATCCATTGAAACTTTGAAAATTATATTCACCGTCTAAATTAAAGTGAATAGTTTGAAGAGTATTAGATAATTGAGTATTTATAAATAAGTATTTCTTATGTTTATGATTTAATTTCACTGATTACCGTTAATAAATCATATTTATACTTACTCACTATTTGAAGAGTATTAAGTAATTATCCAGAGATAAGTATTCATAAACAAGTTATGTTCATTATTTTAATTCTACTGATTAATGTTAATAAATTATCTTTATACTCACCCACTGAATGAAATGATTTGTAGAGTTAAGTAATTAATTGTAAATAAATATTTATAGTAAGTATTTTTTACTGTATGTTTATAATTTAATTCCACTGATTAATATTAATAAACTATCTTACTCGCTGAATGAAATTATTTGAAGGGTATTAGGTAATTAATTATTTGTAAATAAATATTTAAAGTTAAGTATTTATGAATAAATATTTCTATTTATACTCACAAACTAAATTAATATGAATGAATTGATTTGAAGAGTATTAAATGATTAATTATAAATAAGTATTTAGAGATAAGTATAATATTTATAAATAAGTATTTATATTTATAACTGTAAATCCTCTTTATACTCACTAACTAAATGAAATAATTTATTATAAATAAGTATAAAAAAGTATTAACGTTCATGATTTTAATTCTATAGATTAATTATACTCACGGACTAAATGAATAGAAATGATTTGAAATGGTATAGGTAATTAATTGTAAATAAGTAAGTAGTATTAGATATAAGTATTTATGAATAAGTATTTAACTTCATGATTTTAATTCCACTAATTAACATTAATAAATCTTCTTTATACTCACCGACTAAATTAATGCAAATGAAATTATTTGAAGGGTATTAAGTAATTAATTGTAAATAAGTGTTAAAAAATAAGTATTTATGTTCATGATTTTAATTTCACTATTAGTTAATAAATAATCTTTATACTTACCCACTAAATGAAAGGATTTGAAGGATATTAGGTAATTAATTAATTATAAATAATTATTTATGTTCATAATTTTAATTCCACTAATTAATTTTAATAAATCATCTTTGTACTCACTTACTATTTGAAAGGTATTAAATAATTACCGTAATTGTAAATAATATTTAGAGATATTGTAAGTATTTATAAATATTTATGTTCATCCACTGATTAACGTTAATAAACCATCTTTATACTCACTAACTGAATAAAATGATTTGAAGGGTATTTGGTAATTAATTAATTGTAAATAAGTATTAGAGATAAGTATTTATGATAAGTATTTATATTTATGCTTTTAATTCCACTGATTAACGTTAATAAATCATTATACTCACCGACTAAATTAATAAGATTTGAAGTGTATTAAGTAATTAAGTATTTATATTATGAATTTTAATTCCACTGATTAACGTTAATAAATCATCTTTATACTAACCGACTGAATTAAAACGAATGAAATGATTTGAAGGATATTAGATAATTAAACGTAAATAAGTATTTAGAGATAAGTGTTTATGAATAAGCATTTATACTCATGATTTTAATTCTACTAATTAACTTTAATAATTATACTCACTAACTGAATGAAATGATTTAGGTAATCAATTGTAAATAAGTATTAATATTTAGGATTAAGTTTTATGTTCAAGATTTATTTCCAAAACTCGCGTAACCAAGGGTAGGTAACCTTACGAAAGAGGTGTGTTAGATTAGGCTGAGGGATACTAAGGCTCGGGTTACTTGGGTTTCAAGCGTCCGGAATGGTTTGGATCACGTGAGCAAGAGTTAAACGAACAACGAATTATAATTTAAGATTTAGAGAGTATATTAGTGTAGCAGTAATTTATGTAATATTATGAGTGATTTATTTAATAAAATTGGGATTTATTAATTAGTGAAGCAAACGAGACTTAATTTTCTCGGGGCAATTAGGCCCTTTATTTATAATAATTTTTCATTATGACTGATTTTAACGAATAAATTGCACTTATACATTTTATCTAATTTCCTAATCAAAGCTAATATAATGAAATAAAACCCTAAAACTATGAATTCTCTCTTTTTCGTTATATTCAATAAATTCGTTTAGTTAATTCAATTAATTGAATTAATTGCCGAGACATCAAGTAATTGATCTTCATACTCGCATCAAACGTGATAAGCCGCAGCTTATTCGAATCACGTTGTTGGACCTAACAATATATAGTGATGCTTACAGCAAAAGCAGAGGATAGGACTATATAATATATAGTCCCATTCCCTGCTTTTGCTGTGGGCGTGCCCATATATAAAAAAAAAAAAAAAATTTACAAACCCCGCCTTTACTGACCCGAATGCAGATCTTGAAATTATAAAGGGACCGGGTCCCAGGATTTAGGTCCCATATAACTATCATGTGATTTAAGGATCGAATAAGATCCTTGAAAGGATTCGGTCCCAAAGGACTGATTAACATCCCTAAATTTAATGAACAAACCTTGTTAGGATATTTAGCGTCCGAAACGAAGTGGGAACATCATCAAATATTCCTTTTGAATAATAATTTAAAGCGTCTATACTCAGGGTCAGATATTACACGTAAGTTATGTTGTCATTTGTCGCGGAATTTTAACCTACTTTATTATAATTTTAAAAATTTTTAGGGTCTTTTTATAGTCTTTTTTTAAGATTAGGGTTATTAATAAAAGAGCATATGTGGATTTTAGCAGTCTTATGGATTTAAATCGGGACCCCAAATTTTAGCGTCAGCCGCGACATAATATGTTAACGATGAATCGAAGAATTAATTATTCTTTGTCATGAAGATACGATAGAAATTCTGGTATTTAGTGAAACAATTAATTGTTAAATTTAATTTCTCGAAATCTTTTTTAAATTAAAAAAAAAGAAAAATCGAATTATGATCGTACTTTCTACAATGAATTCTCTAATATGTCGAAAATATCCATAAATTGGTTTTTTTTTTTAATTCGGAAACTGATTTTTTCCGAGAATATTAGTCATTTATACATGGTTTAAAACTTTCCTTTAAAAGATTATCCGAGTATTTAATTATCCATAATCAAATTAATAATAAAAATGACATTATCTGATACTATATAGTCTTACTCATTTATTTACTGAAATAATGATATTATCGTTTTATTAATGTGAAAGAATAAAAATTTTATTTAGAATATCCTTTTTTATTACCTTTATTATTATTGATATATAACTAATCTTTTTTTTTTTTTTATGGTAAAAAGATTATAGATTTGAACATTACCAATTCATTAGGCTTTTTTAATATTGTTTTGACTACAAGAAAAAAAGTTATCAGTGAAAATCCTAGCTGTACTGTAAATTTACCAATTTTACTCGCCAATAATAATCTAAATTATGGATTCCTTAATTATTTTCTAAAACATAGAACATAGAACTAAAAGTAAAAAAATATTAAATAAAATAGAAACTCATTATATGATGAACTTTTAATCGAAATTCGAATTGATAGTATGATACAAAGATTTTATCATTTGTGGTTTTGATGTGACTAGTAATGAGACCCAAACTATAGAAATTACCAGGCCTACCGAATAATTGGCAATTGATTGCAATTTTTTGAACTCAATTGATTGGTGGCGCAATCATAATGAGTCAATTAATTGCAATTTTGGTGTGATGAATTATTTGCGTAACAAATAAGAGTTCACTAATACGATTAATTAGTAAATCCTTATTTGTAACGTATAATGATTCATCGCAACTATGTGGCAAATGGTAATTAATTGAAATTATTTCGTCATTAATTGGGTTTCAATTAATTTTATGATAACTTTAATTGTATGACGTATAACAAAATTTGATTTTTTGGTAGGCCTGGAAATTACAATTAGTTTTGGAAATTCAAAATTTTAGAAAATTCTAAATCGTGTGATATTATGTAATTTCCGGGAGTAAAATATATAACTGATTGTATGATTGAATTTGATTGGTTAATTATCAGTTATAGATTTATGAAACTGCTTATAATTTTAACCATTGATTGGTTGTTTTATTATGCTTATGAAACCGCCGCTATAAAAAACAATTTTTTCTTGTCTTTTAGTGATTTTAATTAGTAAAAATTATATCATTATGTTGCTGTGATCGAAATAATATTATTTGATTTCGTTATCACCTTATTTTAATAATCACCAAATTGCCATCAAAAATCCTGGCCTATACCGATACGACAAAATTCTAATCTAAGTTAATAAAATGGTATAGTTTTGCCAAATTGGGATACGGCAAGTGCCGAAACTACGTACTAGGTTTGAATTTCATCACTGGACGTGACAAAATTTACAAATGGTAAAGTCACAAAATTATACTAATCGATATATGGGACCCCCAAAAAGGGGGATAGGACAAAAAACCAAATTTTTTATTTATTATGCTAATTATAAATTTTTATGAAAAAAATTTTTTTTGTCCCATCCCCCCTTTTGCTGTGAGGGGTCCCATATATACTGCTTTAACGGGTAATACCCCCAAATTGGCATAATCAAATAAAATGACCAATTTTTTATCCTTAAAATGAAATAAATGACGATGTCAAGTTTTACAAAAACGGATTAATAATTATAATTCAAAAAAAGAACTACTTATGTAATTATACGGTACATTCATATAATGTATCATAAACTGTCTGTAAATTTTTCGATATTTCTAGTTTTCTTGTTACATTTTACCTATTCCGCACCGCATGATACAATTGAAGCAGAAAGACAAAATATAGATTATTTTTGTCGAGACGGAAACAGCCAGAATTGTTGTCCTCATCTAGCGAACCGAGTTGCTAATGAAAATTTTTCACGATGTGCTTCCATTATTCTCATCAATAATAGTGGCTTTAAGATGACATTGGTTAATGAAAATCTTGAAGATGGTCGTTGGGTTACTTCACATGATTATTATGATGGAGATGGAGTCTATATTGACTGCATGCCACACACACTTTTAAATTATGAATCTGAAGCTATTTCTAGTGTCTCAAGTCATTTTCTTGGTGGAGTGCAAGGATATGTTGGGTTTATTATTGATGATGATTTTTCAAGCAAATTTTTTATCTCTTGGGATGTTCCTTTATTCAGTTCGCCTAAGTATCATTTTAGTTTCCTTAATGAATCATATATGTATAAATATAATATTAAGGTCGAGCAAAGCTTTGGAGATACGGTATACAAAGTTACAATTGGGAATGGATTTTCTTGGTTATCGCTGTTCATTTTCCCGCTTCCGTTCTTTGTCATTATACCATGTTGCTGCTGTTATCCCAGTACATCTAATGAGAATTTAATCACACAACAATCACCTGAATCTCTTGGACAACGAGGACAACATTCTTATGGATCTTTTGGACAACAGGAACGACAATTTTCAGATTCTTCTAAACATCAAGGACAACGACCTTATAATAATTCTTATATAAATAATAATCGCAACGAACAACAGGGACAAAATTCATATAATAATCCCAATGGAGATGATCAACCACCTCCTTATGATCATATTTTCCCGTAAAAGGACAATTTCAAAACCTAAATTGTTTAAATTAGTTTGCCAACCGGCGACTAAATCAACCAATTTATACTGTATGAATGAACATTTTTAACAGTTTTGTATTATATATTTTGTTTGTATTTTAATAAAAATTAAATATTCTCTAATATGTCTTTTTAAAAAGTTCATAGAAAATAATTTACAAATTGAATGATCCTTAAAATGGTCTTTAAAAAAAAAAACTTTGAATCAAATAATAATCAATAAAATTGCTTAAATAGTTTTATAACTTTTTTGAGATTTATTTAAATAGTTTTATAACTTTTTTGAGATTTATTTAAATTCTAAAAACGATAGAGATTCACAAGTAATAGGTATTTATATAACTCGCTATATTATAAAATCGAGTTTAAGTAAAAAAAATAATAATAATAATTATCTAAGTTATAACTTTATTGGTTATTGCTCGAATCATAACGAAGGAAGGTATAATTTTACTTAATAGTATGCGATGTCTGTTACTGCACATTTCTAATAAATAAATAAATAAATAAATATGCAAAGGATTAGAATTTAGAATTGTCAACAAAATATGACGATAATAGAATAGTCGTGACAGAAAAAAATTCACAACCACATGTTTAACATCTAATAAATTTCAATTAATATCGAATTCAATAAAAGATAAAACGAAATATTCAGAATAACAAAACTTCTTATAGATGCTTTTTTGATTATAAGAATAGATAAAATATATTAAATTTTGTGAGAGAACTTTTTTTTTTATTAAACGCAAAAGTTATTTTCTAGTTTACTATAGAATTTTAAATTCTATCTCAAAAATATAAAGTATAAGCAATATATTATAAAAATAACTAGTTAAGATAATTCAAAATTTAGAGCAAGTAATATATATCATGATATATTTTGCAATTTAAATTTTGCTTACGATATAGAAATGCAGGTGAAACTATTACGGCTATGCCGTAACTAGTTACAGCTTATCGTTATGTCGTAACCTTATGTCCTAACAGTTACGACATGTTTCGTCTGCATCTCTATTACGATATCAAACATGATGACTTATAAAAAAGATTAATAAAAGACTCTTTATTACTTAAACACAAGTTATTATTATTATTATTTTTTTGACTGAAATTCGGGTTATTAGTGGTAACTTATCGGTAAGTTTGAGCATAAACTATCAATATTTATTATTTAGTAACTTACTGCTGAAATTGTTTTAAGCATAAATAAAAAATTATACTTGAACACTAAATACCGATACGACAGTTCCAAATTATATCTTTTAGTGTTGCGGAATGAAAGTCTAGAAGTGAATCTTTGTCACTGTAGTATACTTGTCGTATTATATAATATAAGACTAAAGTCCGCTAATATAGGATTTGGATCCGTTATCCGTTATCAAATTAAATTTTAATGGATATCACGGTTAAATTCAATATTCAACGGATAACGGATCCAAGCTCTACGCTACAGTGGTAAGATTCACTTCCTACGCACTCATTTATATTGGATTAACTTATATTACGTATATCTAATATTGTAATGAAATTTGAGCGAGAACCTCTTCATAATAAAATACTGTATATACATTTACAAATTATAAATTAATTTTATTGAAAAAATAAATTTATCAATTGATTTAAATTGTTGACAAATTTAAAACATATATCAGTAAAGAAAATTTGTAATCAAAATTTTATGATAATTTAAATATGAAATTTAATATTTCGCGGTTAATGATTGCGTAAAACAAAAATTCGCGTCTTCCAAAATTGGAACAATACGCCAAACGCCAGATTTGCAACCTACATTAAAATCGACATTTACTATCAGTTTTATGACGATTAAAAATATTTAATAAAGGAAATTTCAGGGGAAATTTTCGTTCTTTTCACCCCCTATTAACTACGTTTGTAATGTTGGTCTAACACTAATTTAACCTGGTATGGTACTGGTCGTACGGGATATTCAAACCGAATTTTTATAGTGTTACATTAAATTATGCAAAATGTCTAGTCGTTTTTTTTTTTTTTCTGCTTTACTACTTTGACATTGTTGGAGAGTCTCTTCGATTCAGTGGTCACGACCCTTTTATTATTTCTTCAATTATATAGTCATTTTATGATTTTTATATTTTTTCATAGAACCAATTTTAAAAAGATTCATTGAATACTCATTTCATAAATAGACTTCATACTCAAAGAGGATTTTTTTTTTAGGTACTCGGCGTACCACTGTTTCGTAAGCCCTCCAACAAAAAAAAAAATAACGAATTTATTTTATGATTAACATTTCACCTGGAATGGAAACTGTTAATGAGCATGAGCCATTATTCTTAAATGATGGCGATGATTATTCTAGTGATGAACCTGACCCATTTCTTTTATTATCTGTGGCAAGACCTCCTCCTCAGAAACCTAAATACATTATATTACTATTTTTAATTTCAATATTTGATTTGATTATAATGCTTACATGCACCATTACCTCAACTTATATCGATAATAAAATCCATTGGGATCTCCTTAGTCTAGGGATTTTTAGAATAATTGTGGCACTTGCTATATTTTCATTCGTTGGGATCAAAGGATTGGGGTGGATTCTTGGATGTTCATGTGTGGTATGTAATGTATATTATTGTAATTTATGCACAATCAATTTTTAATAATGTTATTAATAATGTATTTTTTTTTTTTATTCAAGTTATCATCATTATATATCATATTTCAATCAAATTTAATAATTCAACATAAACATCCGATAGAAAGTCATTATATTTTAATTCTTGTTTCATCTTTTATATTCTCTCAATTATATTGGATTAGTTATATAATTATTAATGTAAATAATCGTAATAATTCTTCATTCTTAAGAAATAGTAATATATTTTTTGAAGAAGAACAAAGAAATATGATAAATGAAGATTTAGGTAGTCCTATGAATACATTTAGAAATTCTTCAACTAATACAAATTCAAGAAATTATGGTTCAATTTTTAATAATAGTAATGATATTAATTCATTTATTGATGATGGTGGAATAACTAATTCAACTATTAAATATATTGCATCAAGACAAGGTTATAATACTATAAGAATTTCAAATACAAATATTATAAATAGAGATTTTTCTTTTTCTACTGTTTCATTACCAATTCCGATAGTTGCTTCTACTACAAGTTCGGTTGGAAGTGCAAGATCTTTAAAACGTAGTAAAAAAAAGAAATTTCAAGAAGAGTTATCTTCGAAAAAGTATAAGAATAATGATATTTCTGAAGAGAATTTTGATAATGATATTTCTGAAGAGAATTTTGATAATGAAACATTTAATTATCAATTTCTTGATGAGAAAATTAAAAGAAATGATTCTGTTCGTTCAGCCCCTGCAAAATATAATGTTGATGATGATTCTCTCCTAGTAAATGATGATGATGATGATATTGATGGATTAATCGTTTTTTCTGCTGGACGTGGTGGAAGTGTTAAAGATCGTCGAGGTGTATATTTTAAACCACCTCATGAAGATATTTTGGAAGTTTCTTCATCTGATGATAATGGTGATTCCGAAAATGATTTAGATAATTCAATATCTTTTAATAATGAACTACCAGCTGATGGTCGTGTTCGTCATAAAAAATTTGTAAAATATCCTAGCGAAATGGGTAATAACCATGATGATAATGATGATGTTTTGGATAGATATGCTGATGCTGAAATTATTGGAAGCGCCCCAGTTGGTAATGGTAAATGGTCTACTTTGAAAAGGAAGAAAGTTGATTTGGAAAGCATTCATTCTAAAGATGAACTTGAAAATGAAACTAAGAATTTTCCTTTAAATAATAATGAAATCATACTTGATGTTGAACAAAGTAATGATTCTTCTAAATTTGATGTAATGATCCCTATTAGTAGCTCGATGCCTATCATGTCACCACGTACAAGTTTGTTAACAATGGCTTTCAACTCTGAATCACCAACTGCTCAAGCTACAAAGGTGGATCCGTATTCAGATAATTCATCGCATACACTTACAAATGATGATAAAAATATATCGTTGTCAGAAGCAAATTCAGAATCTACATTATCAAAAAATCCTATAATTATTGAAACCAATTTACCTTCAATAAATCGCAATTCTTTTACACCAAAATTTTCATCTCCATTAGCGATTCGTGCGCCAATTATAGCGTCAACTGATGATGATTTAAATCAAAATTTTAAACAAGATGATAATATTGAAGAATTTACAAATTTAAAATCTGTTCAAAATTTTCATGATGAACAAAAAGTAATTAATATTCAACCCGTTTATAATCAACAAATTTCTTCTGAGATTACGGACTCATTATTACCTCCAATTGAAGAAGAAATATCCAAATCTAACCAGAATACAATGCGTTCTATCACAAAAAATGTTGTTATTGATCCATCTATTCATATAAAACCCGCACATTCGCGTGAAGCTTCAAATTCTTTGCAAATGCTATTTACCAATACTCCTGTTGGATTAGACGATGAAAATTTATTAGAAAAAACTAAAGTTATAGATCAAAAAAGTAGTAATGATTCTCAAAGTGATGTTAATAAGGATGTTAATGTTAATAAGGATGATAATAAGAGAGAAACTATTTTATCTGAAAAATATAGTTTAGCTATAAAGAAAAGTTGGAATAATGAATTTGTTGAGGCAGAAGAAATATTGATGAGATATAAGGATGGGATTCCAAGATGGTGTGTTGCTTTTGCCGAAGTTCAATTAGTTAAACATTTAATGACAGGACAAACTGTAGAGAATCAAGATCCAGAGTTAATAAATTCTTTAAATGAGGCCGAAAAATTGGCCACAAAGGTTTGTGAGAACAAAGACGATTTTGTAAGTATTAATTAAAATGTGGTCAAAAAAAAAAAAATGTTTTTATTTTTACAGATTATAAATATACGTAATAATATAAATTTTTATAGGAAACAACATTTACTATGTTTATATCAGATATTTGGAAAACAGATATAAAGCCAATTAGTACACCTAGCGAAGATGAAGCCGAATTTGCATCACTTCGAACAAATTATCGATGGGATTGTGAATTGGCTATGGGTGATGTCCTTCTTTTCCGATCCGTTTTACAAGTTATCGGTGGTAGCGAGATTAAAGGCGCGTTAAATTTACGTAGAGCATGGAAATTTTACTCCAAAGTTAGAGATGAAATTGATAGAATAAAAGGAGAAACAAATAAAAATTTACAGAAAAATGAATCTAGCAGTGCAAATAGTAATCGATGGAGTCTCGGAGGGATAACTAGTATGGTTAGATTTGGTGGTCATACACAAGAGGGATCCGGTGGTGTAAATGACACTGTTAGTTCAATAAAAGTTGATCCTTATATTGAGGATTGTTTCGAATTTGGAATGGGAGTTTTTTATTTTATTGTTTCAATCGTAAGTTTTTTTTTTTTTTTTCCTTTTTAATAAATATCATTTTTATGTAATTGCTTAAAATGTTTATATATGTAGGCTCCTGGCTCGTTTTTGTCTATGCTAAAAGCATTTGGGTTTAACGCTGATCGAGTGCAAGCTATTCACATGTTGGAAAATTGCTATTCTCGTGATAGTACTCGAGGTAGGATGAATTATGTAATAGTGAATCGCATCAATTTTTTTTTTAAAAAAAATATATATACTCACGTATATTAATTAAAATTTTCCAATGTACCTTATCTAAACAAAAAGCTCCTTTTGCTGCACTATTTCTTCTCATAAATTACCTTTTCTTACCTCGAGGAATTGCTGACGCTACACCGTCATTAACCAGAGCTGGTATTATTGCAAAGGAATGCGTTAATAAATACCCGTGAGTAGAATGATTATCATCCTTTCTTTAAAATGATTTTATTTAAAAGATATTAACACTTACAGATACAAATATTATTATTATTAACAGAAACAGTTCACCATTCTTATTTATGGCTTGTCAACAAGCTCGTAAGACAGGCAATATTAATGAAGCATTAAATTATATAGCAACTGGTGTCAAAAGTTGTGAAAATGTTAATGCCACCAGTACACACTATCGATTTGAAATGGGGATGACATATTTAATAAATTTAGATATTTCAGCTGCCAAAGAAATATTTGAATTACTTTTTTATGGTAACACTATAGTTTTCACAGGACAAAAAGGATCAATAAGACTTCAAGGATCAATGAAAGATTCTACTCGTTTTACATCCCGTGATGGAAGTACAAAAAAAGAGAAAGCTTTATTACAACTTTTTGAATTCGAATTAAGACCATTTTGTGGACTATGTTTGGCAGGATGTTACTTTATGATTAAATCAGGAGGAAAATTTATAACTATGGAAGCATTAGATGTGTTAAAACAAACTCAAGCAATGACTAATCCTCCAGTAGAGAATAACAGTACTAGTATTGCTGGTAGTATTGGGTTGTTAGGAACTAACGCAAGTGGGTTTGTAGGATTTGGAAATGGAACTTCTAGTGATAAAAAAGAACCAAAGGTAATTTTTTTATTACAGTAATCTTTTTTTTTTTTTTATTAATAATCTTTTTAATTAATTAAATCCAAAAATAATTGTTCTTATTCTTAGGCAAATCGTTATAATAAATTTGCTGGTCGTTATTCTGCCAATATTAACAAAAATTCGGGTTCCCCATTCTTGATTTTCATCATTCTGTATCTTCGAAGAGATATTTTCTACATGTCTTTGGAATTAAAAAAAAGATGGGCAAATATGTTGGAAACAATATGGATGGTATGTAATTACGTTATTTTTTTTTGAAAGGTTTAATTTATTTTCTCATCATCTTGTTTTTATATACTTTATTACAGGAAGTTCCAAAACCAACTGATCCAGATATAAATGCAGTTTATCTACTCATTCGTGGAGTGTTTGAAAAATTCCTTAATAATGATCCTACAGTTGCTCAAACTACATTTAATGAATGTTTAACTTTTGAAATTGGAATTTTTAATGAGACTTGGGTTATCCCTTATTGTAAATATGAAGTAAGTTTTTATATTAATTTCGATTATTATTATTATTATTATTATTATTATTAGAATCATTACTATATGTAATAATGAAAAAAAAAAAATCTAATATAAAATCTTAATACAATTTTTTTTTTTAATAGCTTGGTGAACTATTTTATAAACATTTGGGAGATCAATCATCGGCCATGGAACAATTTAAATGGGTATTAAAAGGTCCAAGACCAACATCTCGTGGTATAATGGCACGTCGAGATAGTAATGTATCATTAACTTCAAAATCATCATCAGATTCTAATGTATCTGTTCATAATAATCCGGATAAATTTAAAAAATATGAATTTGTTAAAGTTTTAAAACAACGATGTACCATAGCTATTGAACAAATTCGTAGTGGATTATTATCACCTACGAATGTATTAACAACAACAACACCACAATACTCATCTTTGTCACAAATACGTCATAATAGAAAAAAGAGTGATTCGAGTTCAAGTTTATTAAAAGAAGTTCAACAACGACAATTAGTTCAAACAACTGAAGAAAAAATTTTGACATCTACAGAAAGTTTTGAAAGTAAAAGTAATGTTCAAGGAAATAATAGTTTGGATGGAAATATTATTGAAGATGAAGGAATTTTATTTAATACTAATAAATTTAAGAAAAAAAACAAAGAAAGGAGTAGGAGTTTATCACAACATGAGGTTGAAACTGATAATAATAATAATAATAGTGATGGTAGTGGACGTCGTAAAGGAATAAAAGGCAAATTAACTGTGTTCAAATTTCGATGATTAACAGTAGTTAAAAAAGATAAGCATTTTTTAATGCGATTTTATAAAAACTTTTTTTTTTTCCTATTTTTGATAATATTTAGACCTTTATTTTATTAATATATCTGTATATATTCATTATGAATAGATAATGGTTAAATATAATTCTTTCTCATGGTTTCTAATACAAAAAACTTTAAGCTTAAATAACTTGATTAAATTCAATGATTTAGAGCTTTTTTTAATTTTAAAAGTCTGTAGAATTAAAAATCATTTAATTTGAATATTGTAAGTTGTTGTCAAGTTATTTAAGCTTAAAGTTTAGAAAAAATTTTAACAATTTGCTTGGTTTCTATTTATGTTCAATACTTTTGCCGTTTGTTATTTAGATCATTTGTATTATCACAGGTTAGTATGTTATACTTCTGGACCTACTTCTTTTAAGTCCGGGGCAACTATAACTTATTATACAGGTTAAACAATTATAATATGGGATCTTTGCTAGGAAAATAACCTTCCGAGGCTATGTGGATTTATGAATAAAATTTAAATTTGCTAGTGATCCAGTAATCCAATTTTGAATAAACCTTTTTTTATTTCATAAAGCCTAGTATAATCAATGAAATAAAAAAAAAAGTTTATTCAAATCGGATTACTGAATTGCTGGCAAATTTAAATTTTATTCATAAATCCACATAGCCTCGGAAGGTCATTTTCCTAGCAAAGATCCCATATTCTTTTTCACTCTTAGCGAGCTGAAGATATAAATAGTGTTCCTCAGACCCTCAGACCCAAACTGGAACCGAACCTGAATCGACCCAAGTCATCAGGTGGATCGGATACATATTTTTCTAGAACTGATCGATTCGATCATAAATTCTAATTAAAAATTAGCCGAGTGATTATTTTTCGATCTCTTTTAGGTTTACTTAATGTTGTTAGTCGAAATTATTTCGACATTTAGGCATTTAGGCAATTTTGACTTTGTTATTTTTTTAAAAATTACTATTAAAAAATGAATTTAGACATTTAGACAATTTAATTTAGACAAATTTTGACATTA